AGCAGTGAACCAAGAAACATGTCTCCAAATGCCTTAGACGAATTCACTCTTTTTATAACACAGAACTGACATTTCTGTTACTTATTCTTATTTGTATCTGGGGTGTATTTTATGACAACTGGTGCTTCAGGTAACTGAGGAGGATGACATATCTGTTTCGGGATAAAGTAACTTATTTCACATGGTCAAATGTTAGATGACTGAGTGCATAATGCCTTCATTCACCCTAGCCATCCTTATTTTCATGTCATTGCTATGTTATGTGAAGAATTCTACAGTTATTTCATCCTAAAATTTGGAAATTATCACTACATATTATTTGAGTAAATAAAGATCCTATATATTCAAGATGTACACATTTTCTAAATTAGTTTTCTAGAATTTATAAAAACTCAACAAGGGATAGAAGGGTAATGAAAATTAAACAGAACCAAATAGGTTTTTGACTGGATCAGTTTGCACGACCTATTCATCTTTATTGTTACCACACAGAAAAAAAATATTTGAAGTTATCTTTCATGAATTAGCAAAGCAAATTATTTCTCAATACCAAACCTTTAAGGTTGGCATACAATTCCTTGAAAATGGGATATGACAGAGCTAGGGATGTTGCTGGACTTCAATCTCCATCAGGCCTAGTATGGCCAGTGGGCATGGATGATTGAAGCTCGAGTCCAGCAGCATCTGGAGGGCTAAGCCCTATCATATCCTAAACTGTGCTACAAGGAAGCACATATTATTTTCTGTCTCCGCCCTAAAAGTTATAAGTAAGTTTGTAGTATCATAAAAATATGCACACAAAATTTGCACATAGTTCAAATAGAATGCAACTACCACGTTTGAATAATCCAATTAAAGTGAATTTATTATTCCATCATGGTAGTGACCATCCATTAGAAGGATTGAATGTACTAGCCATATACTTTTCTGCTTTTTCTACTTTTCTGAGAAAGTTTTGTAATTATTATAGGTAATACTAAAGATGCACCTTCTGCTTTGACAATCAAACGTACTAACAAGAAAATGGGTTGGAAGTGTCATTAATAAGGAATTAGTTGGGGAAATGTTTTTAAATGTTATGGATCCTTTGCTTTAAGAAGCCTTATGTCAAAGCCCACAGAAGAATCATCTTTCCTCATTCACTAAACTCAAAAGCTATCAAAACTTTGAACATAAAATATGGTATAAATGAACTAGCATACTAGACATTTGTATTTTTGATACATTTTAACAAGAGTATAACCCAGCATATACTTTGTTTTCACAAAATTATTTAAGCAGTACTTCTTTCCTCACTTGTTTCAAACATTGTTACAAATAATTATAATGTATAAACATAATTCTACATTTCTTAAAGGAGCATTTTAACTGATATTAAACAACATTTATTTCAGGCAATTAACTATGAACTTAATCTCCTAATATTTTTAGATTATACCTTTTGTAAAGCTGGTACTTGTCCAAAGGAACTGAGGGACTAGGTCCCTCCTTTTATGCAGACTTCTGGAAGGGGCAGGGCTCCCGCCAATTCTGTGACACTGAGATTAATTTGCACACACAATTGAAAGTTGCAGAGAGAAGTTGACCTCAAAAGGGGTAGTGAGGGTCCACTAAATTTGAAGCATTGCTTTGACAATTCTCAGTGTTCTCCACCTTTTTCATAATTCCCCAAGAGCTATGAGCTATGCAAGTTTGCTCTGTTCTAGGCCTTGCGCTGAGCAGCAAAGCCCTTATGTGTGATTGCATGGAGACCACAAAGAAGAACCTGGAAGACTGATCCCATCATATATTTTGAGAAGCAGTGAATAAGGCACTCAGGCAGGGGCAGCATTAATATGTTGCTGTTTTTGTATATCTGGTCCATCCTGCCACCAGTTTCAGCCACTGATGCCCAAGGGGCACTTTGAAGTGACCATCACTGGCCTATTACCACCACCACCACCCTTTTTGGTGCAGGGAGATGATAGAAATGCATGCAATAGAGATGTTGTTCTTTTTAATCACTCTTTTGCAGGCATGCACTGACCAGCTGCCCACAACATGGAGTTCTGCTGGTCAATGTCCTGTTAAATTCCTGCAGTCCAACTGTGATAGGTAACATCCGTGGACATTAACAAAGTGAAGCTGCATGTAGATTAATTTGCACATACAATTGGAAGTTGCAGAGAGAAGTTGACCTCAAAAGGGGTGATGAGGGTCCACTAAATTTGAAGCATTGCTTTGACAATTCTCAGTGTTCTCCACCTTTTTCATAATTCCCCAAGACCTTAGAGAAGGGATATACATCCAGAAAAGGGAGATATATATCCCACCACCTTTTGTGAACAATTTTGAGAGCTGCCAAAAGAAAGTGTTCTTTTTTACAATCTTATCTAGTAAATCTGAGCTTTTATAATAGGGAATTATAGATGTCATGGTTACATATGGCACTTGGGTATTGGTAGAGCAGCTGGCACTGACAGTGGCCAAAGTTCTCAAAAAAAAAAAAAAAAGTGGGAGGTCTTCATGGTTGGAGCTGCACAAGCCTCTATAACACCATCTGGAAGATCCCAGAAGGAGAGTGAGAATACTGCAAAGCAAGCCCAATTGCCTGTGTAGAATATCAACAATCCACATGGCATAACTAATTTGGATGGTGGGTTGCCATGTTGTGCAAACTCATCCATTAGTTCAAACTTCAATCAAGGTATTCCACAGTGGAGGGAAGATATCTTCTATTGGCAACATAAGAAATTACCTTACATCAGTTAAGACTACTGGTCTACCTAATCCAGTGTTGCCTGATCTAACTAAGGATACCTCCCCGCAGAGTTTCAGGCAGAGAATTTCCCCTTACCTGATCCTGATTATTATTTTTTAAACTGGAGATACTAGTGACTCAACCTGGAAGCTTCTGCATGTGGAGTATGTTTTGTAGTACTGAGTGGTTATGTAACAGGAGGAGGAAGAGCAGCAGTAGTGGTGGCGGTGGCAGCAAGTATTAAATTCTCTCACACTCTCTTATAGGAACCTATCAGAATCATGGGCAGCTTCAAATATAAAGTCCTATCTTAAGTATTCAGTGTTTGCTCTGACAGATTAATCAGACCAACTTTAACGTTTGTTACTTCAATCTTCATCATTTTACCTTCTTTACCTGCCTTCCCTAGCCTGGTGCCCTCCAGAACTGCTGGACTACAGACCTCACCATCTTCAGCAGGAGTAACTATTGGCTGAGGTCCCCATTTAGCCATCAAAGTCCAAGACTTCATCTGTTTTGAAAGCAGAGGACTTCATCACTGAACAGCAGGTCCTCTATACGGGAACTGGCCTCCTGTGACAATCCAGTGAAAGGTAGCTACACATGCCTCCACAGTGCCACTGCTCTGCCCATTGCCTTGGCATCACCATCAGCCTGGCCAAGCTCTGTTGATTTGTTGGTGGGAGAACTGGGATGCTTACACTTGGAAAACTCTGGCCAACTTCCTGTGATTTTCCAACAGACAGTTGGAAAGGGACCCCATTTTGTCTAATTGGAAGAGCTGATAATGTGTCATTACTACTTGGTAGCTGTAAACATGGAGGCTGAAGGCAGCAAAGGGATTGTTACACTGCCCCAACAGATCCATGTGACAGCCTATCCCTCAACTCCCTTAAATAATTATGGGACTGTTAAAAAAGCCAGGATTTTCCTTTAATTTATTCGGAGCCCAGGAAATAAGACTTGATTTCTTAAGAGCCTGCTTTTCATATAATTGTATTTAGATAAGTTGAGAGGGTTTCACACTAGATAACAGGCACTACTTTGATAGCCAGTATGGTATGGTGGTTAGAGTGTTGGACTGGGGACTTGGGAAATTCAGTTTCTAGTTTTCAATTCAGCCATGAAACTCATTGGCAGCCAGTCACAAATCATCAGCCTAACCTATGTCACAGAAGTGGTTGTTGTGAGAATATGGAGCTATGTATGCCACTCTGGGTTCCTCAAAAGAAGAAAAAAGGCAGGATACAAATGCAATGTAAGAAGATAACATAAAGATGTAGAGAAGGGAGGGAGGAAAGAGACAGCTTTCCTTTCATCTATACTTGATTCTACAGAAAACATTCATCCATATTCCTTTGTACAATACATGATTTAAACAGAAAAATTGCTGTGGACTAATTTCTTAACATTGAATGTTGGTAGATTCAGACGAGGGCAAGCTGCTCATTTGGTTTTTGGCAAATGTTTTGCAACTTTTAATTCCCTGAGCTACACAAAGAAGTAGAAATTAACAAAATTTATGAATATCACTCTTCATTGACACATTTATATGATCTTATGAATATTTACATGTATAGTGACACGTCATATGCAAATCCTCAGGGACAAGTGATTTCCATTTAGATTTAAAATTATATAAAATGCATTTAACTCAAATATAAAGTTATTCTAATTATTAAGAGCTCACTTAGTATACAAGTAACACATATCGACTAAGTCTTGATTACTCAAAGCAAAAAGAAAACCTCAAAATCCAAGCTGGGTTTGCTGTTTTTTCTCTTCTACAGCAGTCTTCTTAAAGCTGTTATACAGAGAAGGAACTGGGGAAACAGCTACATTTGCACTCTAGAACAGTGCATTAGTATAGTTGATGGTCATACCATTTAATGGTTGCTAGGTTAGAGTACTTCTACAAAACAGCAGAGACTATTAACTATAGATTGCTATCTATTATACTCACATTAAGTTATACATTAACTGTTAATCATACAGTAACAAATGTATAAACTGCCTGCTTCCAATTTACTTTATATTGTTAGTGTTCCATTTGCACCTATCCAAGCACTGAGAATCATTTCAGGCAGCTACAGGAATATTGCCCATTTCATTTTCTTTGATTTAGTTGGATTCCATTAAGAGACAGAGAGGAAATGAAGAATGACCATGATTAATACTTACAACAAATTATTCTTTTGAAATATCATCCATGACAAGTAGGAAAACACACAGAGACGCTGCAGCAGAACTTCAAAATAACTGTTTTTCCTAATAACTTTATTTGAAGTAGTACACAAATTATGAAACTACAATAATTTGGACATGTCCTACAAATTTCAGTGCTTGCACTAAAATATCTGAAAAAGACAAACTGCATTCATTACCAAATCCAAACCTTGTGACGGTGTCTCATAAATGTCCTGTATTATTGCTCAACTTGCCGCATTTTAAAATAAAAAGATCCAAGTGATTATGAGGCTTTTATTCCTTTGACTCTAGAGGATTATTTCAGTTTTGGGGGCAACAACATTCTGTGCGCCAAGAAGAAATATCTTCATAAGAAATACAGTGTAGATACTACTTCCACAACAATGATGAGGTCCAAACTCAAGAACATGGGTTTAAAATTTCATTTCTTATTACTGCAAGGAATATGAAATTTTGTATGAAATTTCCACTTCTCACAAAAGAATTCCTTAACTTTTTTTAAAAAGCCAATGAAATGCAATAAAGAATTATGAGGATGTGCTAATCAAAGTCCTGTTAACTATCTATACACTTAAAGGTTGCTTAGAGTCTATATTTTGTTTAAATACCGCAAGCACATGTCAGAAAGACCATAATTTTATATTTAGCACTAAAATATTTATATTAAAATTAATATAGAACCTGATGTTACTTTATTGCTTGTTGCTCTAACCCTCATCTGTCTCCAATAACAGATGCTTAAATTCTGCTATCTTTCCCTGTCTTGTAAGTGCATGCCATTAACTTTTATTCTTAAGTCAATTACTTAATCCAGCCAATGCACATTTTAAAAACTCTAAGTCAATCTAGTAAACACCTTATCATTAAAGATATACTTATCATTCTCCATCCCTCTCCCCAGATTTCAAAGGCTGGTTGTACAGTTGTACTTCTCCAGAAATCAACACCACAGCTATGAACTGAAACCATAGCAATGTACCACCCTGCTACCACTGGCATGCAGGGACAGCAGAAAGGTGTTGGGCAGTGCTGAGTGCCATCCAATACCACATCTTTCTCATTTTCAAAGTATAACAGCTGCCTTCTCCTGTTTCTTAGGAATTCAAAGCAATACCTGAAGGTGGGACATGTACAGCCTGAAGAAAATCTCAGTTTACCCAAAGTGACATTTTGGGATCTTATCCAGTTTATAATAGTAGTGTCCTTCAGACCAGTGTTTTAGTCATTTGGTAGGGTATAGAAGTTAAGTGCTTGGAGCACTGCCTGTCGCAAGTCAGTTCTTACCTAAAATATACGGAACTACTGTGTCAGTTCCGGTTACCAGGATCTCTATGCAATGTTATAAACAAACAGACATTGTCAAGTTTCCATAGCCTGAGAGCTTTGTTTGGAAAGCACATGATTCCACCCTTAATTCTGCCACTTATTATTGTTATATAAGGTGACAAGTTATTAAATATGCAGAAATTCTTCTGACTGCTATACTACTACACAATTATGCATTCTGGACATTTAAACTACAAGAGTAGAATACTAGAATACCAGATGGATACACTTAATATTCATCAACTGTGCAACACAGTTCAAAGATGTTCAAGATGAGCCAATTTTACTCTTTAAGTGTCTTCCCCAACTTGATGGCACAAGATGCTTTAGATCATGACTCCCAGCATTCCTGAACCTTTGCCATCCCAGTGGGGCTGATGAGAATTATAGTCCAAAATATCTGAAAGGTACCAGGTTAGGGGATTCTATCCTTTAAGCATTGTTGCAGGTAAGTGCACCACTTCAGAATACAGGGATATTCCCATATAAACTGTACACAGAAAATCTGCACACCATGGAAAAAGTGTTAAATAGCTTCTCCGGAGCATATAGCTTAATACTATTATGGTTTCTTTTGATGCAGGAATGGGAGCACTGGTACATGTAATACCCCACCTTCATTTTGAACTACTACAGTCCAAAATTGAACTACCTTATTCTGGGTAGTGCTGAGATTAAATCTAACTGCCAGTATGTATGTTTAAATGCAAACAAAAGAATCCACAGTGCTACTATGTTAATATTCAAGGAGGGTGCTTTTCATATTGCCTGTTTAAATTTATTATATTCTATATCAACCTCCTCTTTTCCAAAGGACTCAACCACAGGTTAAGGTCCTAAGTAACCATTTGTCTGGTGCAGTGGCAGAGGTGAACAAGTCTCATAGAGCACAGTATCAAGATCAATTAAACTATTATAGACATGGCAACAATACAGGACATTATGCACTCACTTAACATCCAAAACATTGGCAGAAAAAAAAAAATAAACATCAGGTAAGAAAGAATTAAGTCACAGTGTTGTGTTGAGAATTATAGATTCTTCTAGCACCATTATGAAAAGCAAAGATAGGCACCAGGATCTTTTATAGTTGAAACTTAACTTACAATCAGGCATAAAATGTATTGAAAAGGCACAGAGGAAAAAGGATCTGAGATCCAACAGCATCAGATAACCTAAACAATATATGAAAACTATTTACATTTTAAAGATCCAGTTCAGTAGCTAAATTTAGCAATAAGAGCTTATATACTATGCATAACTGAACTGATGTGACATTGTATACCTATTCTAGAAAGTGAACAAATCTGGCTACTGTAAGAAAAACAGAGATATATACAGCATAATTTTTCAAGCAAATTTTTATAGTTACAAACACAAACACACACAAGTCTTCATATAAGAAGAACGCACAATGCAATCACTGTACTTTACTGATGAGAACAAACTGTATACTAGTATAACGGCAGCTTGGCTATTATTTTGAAATTTTAAAATTTTAAAGTATTGCAGGAAATGGGGGAAATAACATGTTCTTACTAAATAATTGTAAGCCACTTTGTATTAAACTACTTATAAATTTTTCTTACCTATTTTGTAATTATAATTGCATAGGGACTCGAATGGGAGTGATTGTTTTTAACCGTTATCTGCCAGTGTTGGAAACAATTTCTGAAGATATGAAAATTACAGATATAGCAAGGGGTAAAGCCCTTAGTTCATCTGCCCCCTTCTCAGTTTAGACAAAAAGGTGGTCACCACGACATAATAGTAAATATCCTATGCACAAACTTAGGATCACAGAATGGCAGAGCTGTCCTAGTGTTCTTATTAAGTAAAACCCAAATTCAAATTTGCTGTATACACTTGAATGCTAAGTGGGCATATTTGTTCAGGGCACTTGAAATAGCAATTTGAAAAAGAAAAGTATGCTTACAAAAAGCCAAAGCCGAATTTTAGGCTTGCTTTCTTTGTCAAATAAGCAGTTAAACATGCCTATCTTCTTTATTTAGTGAACACACACAGTATTAGCCCTCCAGGTAGACAGAAGTTTACACTCATTGAATAAACAGCACAGTACAAGCATGTGGATTGCCTACCTGGCCATAGCAATTTGATGCTATTTTTCAAGAGAAAAAGTACTAGTGGAATATGGTCAAGCAATTAAGCTCAAAATCAAATGAGCTGATTCTGCCTAACAATTCACTGTAAAAGTTCAAAATTGTTCAGAAAAATAATCTAGCATCTATAATACAAAAATTCAGTGTTTTTAAACTTCTACACAAAACATTTCACACTGTAACAGATGTCAGATACATTTCATTCACTCTAAAAATGGAAGGACAAACACATAATGTCATACAGTTCAGTATCTTGTAATTTCCAAAATTCATATCTAAGTATTTCTTTAACAACCCATATGGAATTTAAATATTGCCAGAGTTTCATGTGTAGTTCCAGATCACAATGCTTTCATCAAAGATCTGGTGTCTAGTGTATGTGGTCAAAATTTAATACAAAGCTGGTGAACCAAGCACACTTCTTGATGCTCCGGGTCAATTCTGTGTATATTTAAAAGTGTAGAACTGGAACAAGATAACCATCAATGCTGGTACTGAACTGTAGAAAGCATAAATAAATGACATACTATACTATAGAACCATCTTTGCTCTGTGCTGGAATCATCACAGGAATAGCTCCCATTCTACTTAGATTAGGTGCAGCTACCTTTGGTGGGTCAAAGGTTGAATTTTGAGAAGGACGTTCATAGTCTTCACTTGGTACTTTGTTGTACTGAGTCTTGGCATACCCATCCATATTGGAAGGAGACAATGAACCAAGAGATGACCGATTACTTCCTATATAGCTGCGGGCAGTTGAAGCACGGCTCTTCGGAGGGGGTACATCCTCTCTGAAAAATCAAGTATATTAAGAATTTTCTTAAAAGGCTTTAACAGCAACACTTAATACCACTCATTTCAATGGAATGTCGCCCCTGTGCTAGATAGTAGCACAGATTCTACTTATTTACTTCCCCTGTGCTATGTAGTACTCCTACTGCCACGCTGATGTTAGTTATGCTTGCTAAGCAGGGGGAAGGTTTTCTCCTTCCTGCCCTTTTAAAGGGGGAGATTTGCATTGCAACTCTGGATTGGGGTGGAGGGAGAATGAACAATTTCTTCTTATAAAGTAGAAAATGATAAAACAGCAACTAATTCTGTGGATGTGAAGTAAAGTGGAACTTTTTCTGTTCACTTTTTAATGTTCTTGTAGAGAGGAGGCTCAGTTCTGACATGTTACAGCCTGCTCAGATGGATTCATCTGATTCCGAGGATGTAGCAGAAGGGCAGATGACTTAGCAGATTTAAAGTTACAACCTGAAGATATTTAGAGGATGAGAACCAGCCCACCCCCTCGGAAAAATAGTAATACATTTCAGAACAGGGTGGGATGGAGATTGAGGGTAAGTTCCTTGATTCTGTAAGATGACAGGCAAGTGTACTTATTAAAGCCTCTGGCATTCCTGCTGTCAAGCTTCAAGCAGCAGGAGCCACCCTGAGGGTAGAGTCAGAACTTTTCTGAAAGGGAGAGGAGGAGGAGATGTTTCAGTTTGGATTCAGCTCCTTGCATGGGCAGATAGTTCTCCCACATTTCAAAAAGATCATTACTTTGAATTATACCATTTTGTAACCTGTTAAGCTTTAATAGAAAGGCTGTGTTTCTAAAGTATTATCTAGCTCTGTTAGATTTTCTGTGTTTTCTAGCTAAAGTATTATCTAGCTCTGTTAGATTTTCTGTGTTTTCTAAAGTATTATCTAGCTCTGTTAGAGAGGAAGGGAGGGACCTGTTTATGAAAAGTTTTTAGAATTGCTACCATACAGTACTCAATTTCTATAGATATGTAAAAAAGAAAATGAACAGTTGTTGTGGGCATAGGAAAGAAGTCATGTCTTTTGCACTAGTAATACTGCAGACACTGTGCAACAAGCGGCCATGACATACAGCTCACGCTATTCACTTGTTATCACAGCCAGATCGAGGAGAAAAAGTATGACTGAATAGTGCTGTTTTAAGTGCATGGAAAGCACGACATCCCTGCAACTACAGCACCTCCTTCAGTGTTTGGAAAATAAAATGATATTCATAAACCCCACCTTCTCTGCTTGATTTGCACCAAACTCAGCCCCCCATGGTCCTCTAATGCTACTTCCCTAGCTCTTTTGCTATAGGCTGCTTCAGGGAGCAAAACTGATACACATTTAAACAAAAAATAACAGTTTTACAATGAGGCCAAGTTTTCATTTTAAGCTTATCTACACCATCTTTCCAGAGATACTGCACAGGCATAGCACCCATGTGTGTGATGAACAGAGACCACGAAGTAAAAAAGGGAAATGGTCCTGTACCAGGAAAGTGAGCAAAAAGAATGCTAAAAGCTAAGAACAGCATGCAATTCTAATGGATCTATTACAGTTTTATGTAAACTGAACTACTCTGGACTAGTTCAAACATGGGACCTTGCTCTACTAACTGTGCAATTTTGTACTGACTTCTCTGGAAGTAATCAACATCAAAATCAATGACACTTCTCAATAGATGTAGATAAGATAGAATTGTAAATAAAGTTTTAAGTACCAAGTGCATGAACAGGTAACATAAGAAAGGTCCCACTTTTAAACAGCTTCCTCATTAGAACAGTCTCCCAGAGAACCATACTGGAGCATACACTGAATAATCTATTTCTTTTTGGTGAAGGAGATTAAAATGTTTTGTTCTGCTTCTACTTGTTTTATTCTGATATGGATTTTAGGGTTTTTAGGCTTTATACATCTTTGGTGTATTATTAAGATATATTTTGATGATTGATTAAAATGAGTTTGATCCAATGCTAGCTGTCCACCAGCAGAATGAAGGGTGTTAGCAAACTTATTTCCTCTTCCATCTAGAGCCCTTACATGTGCCCCAGAACTGCTCCAGACAGTTGGGAATCCCTCCAAACCAAATCTAGGGGGCATGTAGGGACTGCAAGATGGAGACCAAACTTTTGAAGTCTCCTCGCACAACACTGCATTTAATCCATGACTCTAACAATTCTGATAATTCAAACTGTAAAGTGGAGACAAAAATTAAATTATGACTGGACTGCATCTGATATCATCAAGCTAAACCACAGACATTTGTGTCAACATTTTTAAAATGCAAAAGTTTGAGATGCTATCCCAAGTTACTTAGAGTGACAAACCTGATATCATGATGTACTTCTTTTTCATATTTTTTCTCTCTTTGTTTTTTGCAGCAGCAAAAGATGAAAAAGGCCAATAACAAGACAGCTAGAAGAGTCCCTATGACAGCTCCAACAATTGTGCCAGTTTTATTCACAGCTAAAACATATAAAACAAATGATATAGGGTGGGTATGAGATAATTTTGGTAGTGAAAAATCTTTCTATTATCACACTGTTGCCTAATTGCTAATACTTACGAGGTGTGACATTCAGCACAAGAACACATTCATCTGTCCCAACTCTATTTGTAGCAACACATTTGTATGTGCCAGAGTAAACCTGAGAAGCATTTTTTATGGAAAGATCTCCTGTACCTGTATCTGTAAATATCAAAGAAAATGGTTAGAATTCTGCAAAAATATGATATACACCGTATTTTATTTAATGGTAGAATCAATAAACCATGCATTGCAAGTTTAATGTTATCTGTCACTTTACAGAATATTTAAATGGAACAAGCTTCATTATCATAGTTAATATGCTATCAGGGATATTATCTGGTACTGCCAAGAAATCTGAAAAATTGCTATCATCTCCACAGCCTTAACTCATCCATTTAATTTGGGATCCCCTGACATACCCAGGCAAATGTATAGTATAATGCGATGAGGTCTTTATGTTCTATGGTTTTTATGGCTCAGTAATTTTAACAAAGATAATTTCTTTACTAAAGAGGAACAACCTGCCTTTATGCTTTAAATATATGGAAAAATAAAATAATTTAATATAATTTAATAATTTAATAGAACATTAATTCTATGTTACCAAAGGTTTACATTTTTCCAGGATCATGCTTCCTAATGGAAGAAATTCAGTGCCATGTTGCACTGAACATTACAAAGACAAAAACCGTTATCCAGAAGGAGTTATTTATATGTGTAACATAACTCCACACGTAGCTTGAAATCTCATTCCACTTCTGCCACTCCTGATGACAATGAGGAAAGATTTTTGATAAAGAGCACCACTTTCCTTTAGCAACGATATTGGTTAAGGAGCCAGAAGCTACAAAAAAGGGTTTTAACTGTGCATATGGCTCCCTTACCTGTAAGAAAACAGTCCCTTACGTCATGCCCAATGCAACTATATTACTTAAGTTACAACATATTTCTGAGTGTGTGTGCATTGTCCTCAAAACTAAGTTATTACAAAAAAAGAGTTTAAAAATAACGTTGATTACTTTATTATACTTCATCATTATTACATTATTACATTACACTGTATTTAACTCCCATCTTCTTCCCTCTTGTGAAGAACCCAAGGCAGCTTACATGGCTGTTTTATGCTTTCAACAACCCTGTAAGATAGGCTGGGTTAAGAATCTGTGATTGGCTCAAACTCACCCACTGAGCTTCATGACTGAGTTGCAGACTAGAAGCTGAATGTCCTTGGTCCCCAGTCCAGTACTCTAATCAGCACACCACTACAGAAACTGTATCAATTTAGTTCATGTAAACATTTGTTTTTCTAAAGCAAGGGCATATCACTTAAGTCCAGAGATTTGCCCAAGAAGAAGAGAATTCTGAATTGTTCTTAGTTAGCATAGTTAAAAGCATTATATTTTAGGGAGGGAATACTACACAGAATTTCATGTATTTCATTTCTACGTACATTGGGGTTAAATGGTAAGCCTCAGGTAAAGACTGTAACCAGTGATAGTACAACTCAATGAATGATTCTCAGAAGGCCCACTATTTTACTGGGTTTATTCACAAGTATGCACAGGCCTGCAGTCTTATCTTCCTCACATGCTACTGAGCTTTCTCTAGAGATAGCAGTGGCTTAGGAATTCATCAGAAATGCTATTACCATTAATCAATCTTTCTTTGGCTTCCATACAAAAGTACATACAAAAGTTTGATTTTATCTTTAGTAAAGCTGGGTTGGTAATTAGCATTGCTGGTAGAAAGGGTTACACACTTATGCTCTTAACAATCAGTCAGAAAGTAATAATGTATAAACATACTTGGTGATGATGTGGCTGGAAGTTCTTCTGTACCACTGGTTTTTGTCCAGTAGTAGTTTATAACTGGAGAGCCATCCTGGGATTTACATTTCAGAGTAAAATCCCTTCCAATCTCCTGTGATCCTTCAACATAGCATTTAGTTCTTGAAGGCTTTTCTAATAAAGGAAAATCAATCTACTATGAATGAAAAGTCTTAAATAATATACTACCTTCAACAGCACTCCATCCCTGCCCTATATGAATACAGAACTATATAAGCCAATGTAGAATTATACAAGTAACAAATCAAAAATACAGATTACTCTATGGCTAGTTTTTTTGTTTGTATTTGTTTTGTTTTTAAATTTTTAAAGATCTGGTACACTCTAACATCTATGATTCTCTTCATCCCTACTTTCTGGAAGAAATGTAGATTCATTAAGTTTAGGTTTCAACAAATAAATAATGAAAATAAACATGCAGCAAATTCCTAACAGAGGATGAACAAGATAGGAAATGCAAGAATAAATATATTCAGAATAAATTTGATACAGCACTGTGTTCCTTTAACTAGACCACCCTACGTGTTGCTTTCTAAAAGGCAACATGGTGTTGATCCTTACTGGAATCTTCTAAGAAACACAAACACGAAGTCGGAGGTTGTATTACACAATCAAGAGTATACTGTCTGGTGAATACTGATTGCTGTTAAGTGGTTTAAGCTGCTCAAGTGGTTTAATTTTCCTTGTCATAAGTTTATTATCAACAATGAATTGATGTTCAAAATTATTTGACTATAGTTAATGTTGTCCTATTCACTGAACATTATTTAGAGATGGTATTTATAACATCTTAAAATAACTAAGTGCAATCCAAAAATCAAGTTATGAATTGAATTCACCTTATCAGTTGTGCAGATAAAATCAAAATTAAAAAAACTGTTTAACAGTTTAATATTTTGAATAAACAGTCTCTAGAGCAGTGGCACATTTCTTTTCTGGAGCTGGAAAAGGTGGAAGTGTTTACACTCTGACCCTAAAATATGTTAGAAAATAACAGTGCACTAAAAATATCAGTCATAATAATGCCTCAGAGACCAGACAATGATTCCCTATGGTGCTACATTCTTAGTACAGAGCAAAGGTGAGCACTCTTTCCATCAGGAAGAGAAAAAGTAAGTTTCCCTAATAAAAATTAGAATAAAATTAAACATTCTATATTAGTTTTTAAAATAAAATATTTGCACCACTTTTATTTGTTGCAGAAAAACCTTTACATCTCAGTACAGTTTTGCCAACAATGAACCTGCCAGTTAAGGGAAGAAGAAAAAGGACTCTCATTTTCATGATTAGTATCACCATGATCCATTAGGAATAGCTGTACAGACAAGAAAGCTTTGCAAGGTTTGTAGACAAAATGTCAAAAGCAGATCAAGAAAAAGAAGTTGAGACATTAGATCAAGCTATATTCCCAACTGCACATCTTTTTTCTTAAGTGGAAAAGTCAATACAGGATAAAATACAACAAACAACTTCACCTACTGTGAATTACCATCCCATTCTCTTTTAGAGTATGACAGAGTTTAAACAGTGGACAAACATAATCAACAGGGCTGTTTACACAAAATGGCACCAAGTCAAGGGTTAACTAATTAACCCATGTTTTGCTGTGGTGTGTGTTGGGGCACATTATGCAGCATTTTGGCATATTCAGCCCCAGATTAGGATTTCTAAGATTTCTATATGACATACTAACTCAGTCACTGTAGGTTAGTTACTTGTATAGTGGGCTGTTTAACCAATGACTAATCTATGGTGTCCAGGATCAAATGGCATATAACAAACCATATCGGAGTATGACTATTCAGAATGACCACAGAATGTGCCAGGCATTTGCTGTGACAAATCATGGGTTAATTAATCCACATTTTCCTGTGTTAATGTGAAGCAGGTTACTGATACTAAGGTCAGATGTCCTCTCATACTGCAGAAAGAATTTTGTAACAGTTAAATATTGTCCAAAGTTCTCATATTTAGTCTAAGCATTCTACCAACAGCAGCTTCTTGTGAATCTAACTGGAAGGGTTTCGGATCAATACAAAAAAGAAGGAATAAATGAACAACTACATGCACTGAGAAGCTTGCTCTTGTTTCTTAAAAGCTCTTGCTTCTGGAGAATCGTTCACAAGCACAAACAGCAAAAGAGAACAGGGTGCCACTAGTTCTGAATCAAATTTGTCAAGAGTGTCAAATGGAACTAATAAGTATTGACAGTGAAACTGAAGATGCCCCAGCAACCTCAGTGGAAGATAGTAAAACTCTAATGAAATTGATGAGTGTTGGCAGCATAGAATGCACAGTTCTTTCAGTTGGTAAAACGTATTCATCTGCCAGTTTTCAGTACCTTTTAAAAAATGCAAATAGTGTGTGTATGGGAACTACATGCAACTGCCTTTAAATATTTACAGTATTCAAATATAGCTTTCTACATAATTTAAAATGTAAATTACATTTAGTGCGCTTTAATTTTTCCCTCAAATATTTCAAGTCAAATAGTAGTATATTAAGACAAAAAAAAAATCTTGGGGTAAACTTTTTCTTTTCACTTTTTGGTTACTAAACCTAAGTAAAACCAACATGCTAAATTAGATCACTCTTTAGGACATTAGAAAATTTTGTGATGCAAACTAAAAAATTATGATCTAAGTTATTTTATGTTGTTGTTCAGTCGCAAAGTCGTGTACGACTCTTCATGACCCCACAGACAACATTCCTCCAGATTCTCCTGTCCTCCACCATCCCCGGAGTCTGCCCAATCCCACACACAACTCCTCAATGACCCATTCCAGCCACCTGAACCTCAGCCATCCCCTTCTCCTTTTTCCTTCAATTGTTCCTAGCAGCAGGGTCTTTTTCCAATGAGTCCTTTCTACTCATTAGATAGTCAAAGATAATTTAGTATTTATCCTAATTTACATTGGAACTATTTCCAGATAGGCTGTATTTTTATCATGCCCTTCATCTAGGTTCTACCTTGTACAACTATTTTTTCAAGTGATGTTTCACAAAACTGTAATCTAAAAGGGTGCTTCCCTTAATAATAAAATGTAGTCATAAACTGGAGTTAGGATTCATTCTGGTTCTTGCAAACAAGCTTAAAAACTCAGAACACAGTATTGTTCATAGGTATGCATTTACCATTGGGTCACTCATAGGTTAACTTAGGGTTGTTTAACCTAGAGATATATCAAAGTTTCTGTGTTCATTTTTCATACAACCTACAAAACAGCCAATTAGAGGTTGCATATTCAAAGCAGCATGTGGCTTGGTAATCTGTGTGCACAGAGAGAGAAAAGAGGAACACCTTACCAAGTACAGTAAGTTGGATTCTGTGGGTTTGAATACCAGGAGGCTTCTTCACTTTACACTGGTATGTGCCAGTATCAGTTGGTTTTAAGTTCAGAATATCAATGGTGGCATCTCCAGAACCTGGATTTTGTTTAACAAATTGTACTCGTCCAGCCATATGATATTGATCATAAACCCTGTCTAAATTGTACATGATTACCTGAAAGAGGAAAAAGAAGAGTCTTTATTATGTATGTTTTACTCCAGCATTTTCCAACCAAGTGCCTTGAGATATCCTAGATGGCAACTAGACAGGCTGTTCTATTCATTATAATTTCTATTCTATTCTATTCATTCCCTCTCCCTCTCCCTCTCCCTCTCCCTCTCTCTCACACACACACACACACACACACACCTCTCCTGAAGCTATTTTCAATGAGATCATATTAAGTATTTTAATTCAACCTTAACATTTTTTAGTTAACACACATACCAAAGAGCTATCCAAATCCAAAAAGAAGGTGAAACCTATGTAATGGTTATAAATTATGAAACCTCTACTTACTGGCTGTTCTAGATTTGGTTGCAATATACTCCATTCAATGTCAAGTGAACCATCATCTTCTGGTCCAAGAGTATATGTGCAGAATAATGTAACTTTCTCTCCTTGAGCCTTTGTTAGCATGGTTTGTTCAAGTGAAGTTATTTGTACACTCTCAGTTAGATCTAGAATTGTTAAACCAAAATATTAAAGTCAATATAAAAGACAGAGAAGTCTACTCTAAGACAAGAGACACATGTGAAAGAGAGCACAGCCACACATTGTTCATGTTAGCTCTTTGTTCCCAAAGGGCAGAATTTTTATTAGTTTTCAAATATTTTGCATTTACAGGGTCATTATACCAAAACGTAATCATGCACGTTTCAGAGAGTACAACTGCAATTTACTTACTAAATTGTATTGTCATTTAATATTTCAATTTACATGCCACTACAGTAGCCCATATCTGGGATCCCTGTGCTGCTGCCAACAATGCCTTTTATCAAAGGACTCAAAGCAATTAAAACTTTATAATAAAGGCCTACAACAGAGCTGGGCATCTTCAGGGGGTTGGAAAGCACCATGGGTCATTCTGGAACTCTCTTCTCCATTTCTGCCAGAAGTGATTACAACACCCCTTGCCCCTTATTTCCTAGCAGAAAGATCAGGTTTTGGGACTCCATTATGCACAGAAACATTGAGTTTGTAGAAAACTCGCACCTAGTTTCCCAACAAGACAAATGTTACAAAGTCTGGCCAACATCCCACCAAACTTTATACAATAAGAGAGAAGATGACGACATTGCATTTATACCCCTCCTTTTTGCTTTTTATGAGGAACCCAAGGCAGCTTATACAGCTCCATTTTATCCTCACAATTAACAACCTTGTCAGATAATTTGGGGCATGAGTCAGTAACTGGCCAAAAGTCACCCAGTGAGCTTCATAAATGAGTTAGGATTAGCGCCTGGATCGTCAGTCCAACACCCTAACCACCAGACCTCACCCAGGGTGCAGTAGGGAGCAAAGCAAAATAACCATATTCATAAAAGAAGTGTGCCAACTGTCACATAATAAAGCTTCAAAAGGATCAGGTGGAATAATTACTACAAAAGAGATTTCTGAGAGAGGAGGAGCCAAACTGAAGTTAGTGGCAGCAGAGGATGTGGAGGAAATACCACTGTCTCATCTTTCTTTGCTTCAGCCAGTAAAATGGGTTGTCACAGAAATGACTTTGGGAGATATTAATAATCAATGTAGTGGTATTTTCTGCTTTAACCTTTTACACAATGAAAAATGTAAAACAACATTTATACAACGTTTATAAATAGAGGGCTTTTGTCAGCATTAGCTATTACCTTACATAGAAGAATATATAAATGGGAAACAGCTCTACTACTTGTTTCATAAAGATTGAAAAACAAAACCCCTTAAATTTAGGCTTTTGGAAACTGCAATGAAGAATGAGCATAATTACTATACTAATTTTGTCATATCAGAAAAATGTTAGGATTTTATTTGAGAGGTCTCCAGACTTCAAAAGCCTGGAGTCTTGTACTGGAATATCTGATGGCTTACTTAAAATGATCTGTCTGTCAGTTTAACACAGGTATCTGTCAATCTGTATTATTTATCCCCCTGGACTAAACAGGTACAGCAAGCTGAGCCCAAGTATCACTTGAACAATGGAGTTAGACACGAACACAGAACTTTCATACCTCATCGCTAAGATATCATTAACAGACTTAATGAAAATCACAGGACCCTAATGTCCATCTCATTAACATCTCACTAGTTATTCTCAACAAAAGAGCGTAACACTCTTAACATCAGCTAATCTTCAGCACTGAGCACAGAATTCATTACAGTCTGCTGTACAACTGTACAGCAGGGTCACAGAGTTCTGTTTTCAGATAAAGACAGTTAGTTTTAAATAGCTGTATATAACCCCACCCCCAGTCCTCCAATCCCATTGAGTTTTCAGATTTAAAGCTTTTGGCAGCCCTTTCTGCCTCATCTACTCCCAGAACATCAGTGTAATACTTGTTTAAATGCTATGCTTAAAAGAACAATATACTTCAGAGGTACACAATTAGGCATGCCAGTTATTAGAACATATCTGTACAACAGCCAAAAACTTCAAGAAATATTTCAAAGAAAATATTTCAAAGGCTAACATGCATAGGAATATACAGGACAGATTTTTTTCTTTTGTAATTTTTGCTATCCTGAATACACACGTGCATTTTAGCCTTTTCATATTTTAGTAAGAGGGATTGATGAGAAAATACAATTTTAAAAACTATCACGTTTAAACTTAAGAACAGAAAAAAAGATCTACGGTGAAGCCAACCAAATGCTCATTTAAATCAGCATTCTGTTTACGCAGTAGCCAGCCAGAGACCTATGGAAACCCTCAACAGGATCCTCCTGCTCATGGACGTCAACAACTGGCATACTTTCTAATATTGGAGACAATATAGGGTACTCATATCTTGAAGTTTTATCCTTCATAAATTTGTCTACTCACCTTTTAAAGGGTATCTTACAAATTAGCCTCATGGGATTGTTACCGGACTGAAACCAGTTAACAGCAGGGGCAAACCCTGGGTGGACCCCAGACCCAAAGCCAAACAGAGCCTGAGACAAGACTTAGAGCTAATAGCAGTTTTATTCTGGTGCACTATAGAATAAACGGAGACAAAGGGGAGATGCTTCCCAAATCAGAGCCTCGAATGAGGTACAGAGAACATACATTATATACCCTATGTCATAACATGTTGTCCGGATACAAAGTAAATTCATTTCCCTATTATTCTTTGTTCTATTTGTTAGTTTACAGAAAACTCTTTATTTATCCAGAAACTCCCCTTTCTAATGTGTCTGTTGATTATCTCTGAATTATTCACATCCGCTCTCTGTTTCTCACCTACTAGTAATTTATAATGCAATTTGCTACTTTTATTGAGGCTTCACCTGGCTTCCAACTGGTCCCAGGCTCCGAAGATACTTCTCATTTACCCTCTTTGACATCCAGTCATCCTGTCCCAGGAGTTCACACAGGTTTCTCCATACCCCGCTCCCTCCTGGACAGGAAGTACAACATGGCTGCAGATTTCAGGCTAAGTGGTTAGCCTAAGTGTTGTGAGAAAGTATGTTTCAGGTAACAGGATGATCCTGTTTTCTAATGAGAGAGGAACAAAAATGTCTTCCTATCCACTTTATATCCCATGTACACTTTTATACATTTCTATCAAGTTCCCCAATTAGTTTTCCCTCCCCAAGCTAAAAAGCCTTACTGCTTGTCCTTTTTGTAGAAGGGAGTTCATTCCAGTCCCTTTTATCATTTTGGTTGCCTTTTTTAAATCTACAATTTCATTTTAGGTACAGTGATAAAAACCAAAGTATTCCAAGTGCAGTAGCACCAAAGAATTTTATAATGGTATCATGATATTGGCAATGGTCATAAACCAGGAATAGCTTGTTGTATTTAACAAAATTGATTGTTTTATGAAACTGAACCAATAAAATAATTGTTACAATTGTTTTAAGAGTAAAACTGAATATAGACATTTTAATTGCACATTTTAACATCAGTGCTATTTTGAGCAATAAGAGCAATGTAAAAATAAGTCATTTTTATAAGAATAGTTTCAAAGCTAAAGTTTAGTAACAGTAATAGTTTTAAAAATGGAAACATATACCCCTCATAGCTTGAACTTTCATCCACAATGACTGTGTTCAATATCATTTTAAAGCATCTTCCACCTATCAATTTCATGGGATGCCCATGGGTCCTCGTATAATGAGAGAGGTACAAAAGATATCTACTTGAATTTATCTTTAACAGTCCTTTTTCGTTTTTTAGAGTTTGCAATGTTTTCTGAAACTCATGTTCTCTAAATAAAAGTTAGCTGAACAGGTTTCCTAGCAACAGCACTTGATGACCTTGCTCTATAGAGATACAATTATCAAGATTATACAGCATTTGAATCATGCTGCAGGAAGGAAAATACCAACCAGTTGCATGATCAATAGGACTGTCAATAGAAACCAATCACTGAGGAAGCAGATTATAATTACACACGATTTCTGTAGTGATAGCCCATAATGTACATTGTAAGAGTTTGAATTCAATCCACAGCTTACAAATTATCTTCACATCAGGAATCTGGGACACTGAAATCAGGCCAAGGAAAGACATGCCAAGCCTAATAGCCTATAAAAAGTCAATAAATAAGCATGCTGTGATAATACAGACATTCGGAATTTTAAAGCACTTTGTACATTACAAGTACTGTCTCTGCATGACCCCATCCTCTAAAGCAGCTCTTCCTTTATACAACAGATGCAGGAACTAACAAGGGCATGGAGATCCCCCATGAATAGCATAATATAACGCTGCTTTATGAATCCTGATGATATGGGAGACACTTCGGGCAACACCTGTAGTGTGGAATTGAATGGACTGAGCATGCTGCTAACAGAAACATCAGCATGGAACAATTACGATATAAACTTTAGGGTGCCCCAGTCATTTTGGGTTGAAAGCCATACCATATGCAAAACATTTCAGCATGATGCTAAACAGATTAGTTTGCAGTGTATTGTGTTTGGATGATGATAACATTGCATTTATAGGCCACCTTTTCTAATTTAGGAACTTAAGGAGCTTACATAATTACATTTTATCCTCACAGCATCAACCCTGCCAGGTAGGTTGAGCTGACGGAGTGTGCCCGGTCCAAAATCACCCATCATGCTCCATGGCTGAGTGGAAACTAGAACCTAGATTCCCAGTCCTACACTCTAACCACCACATGGTGGCTTGGGCAGGAGTGTGTCCAAGAGTGGAAGAGTAATACATAATAGTCACAGATAGAGATGCTTGAACACCATGTGAAAAAGTAACAAAACTGGGTCTGAGATCAAAAGAAATTTAAACCAGCAGCCACAAAAGGGGCAGCATAGGCAAGGTATCTTGTTAATGCCCAACATAATTCTCTCTGAATTTCCCAAGTCTAAATACTCAGCATTTCTGAAACTATGTTGTTAAGACATTCTGTTTAACCACAGAGGCTTACATCTATACATTTATACACAAGATATCTCTTACTCTCCGTACATGTCATGTTGCTTAAAAGATAGACGTTCCCTCTATGGACCTATGTTTAATTTAACATCA